GATATTTAATATGAAACGTAGTGCAGTAAAAAAGTACAATATTATGCTTTGGAATGTTGTGAAGTCAAGTTTTCTAAAGAAAAACACTCTGATAAAGTACAGACAGCAGTAAAAATACTTCACTACTGTCCGCCTCTGTTAAAAGGTCATCCATAAAAAAATTTGACATTTAGTGGCACCATAATTTCTTCTAGTATAGCATCTGTAGTAGACCTACCTTTTCTAAAACCACATTGATGACTGTTAAATTAACTCTTTTTGTCTCTAATAAAATGTTAACCTTTGAACAATCATTTTTTCCATCCACTTGCAAAGATGTGATGTTAGAGCAATAGGCCTATAGTTTCAGGATTTCCAGGATCCTTCCCAGGTTTTTGAAATGGTAGGATTTTTGCTCTTTTCATGTTAAATAATTAATATAACCTTTAGAGCCTCTTCTGGCAGATGATGGAACATTGTATAGCTCAATTGATCTTGTCCTGGGGCTGAATTTTTAGTTCCTATTATAGCTCTTTGTTATTTCATCATATTGAATTCCAAATCCATAGGTGCATTTCTCATTTTTCTTTTTAGTTAGTACCAGTCTACTATCTCTTAACGTTTCTTCTTTCTTTTTCTTATGATAATCACTGAGATGACTACCATTATGTATGCTTGTGAAAACCTTATCTAATAAATTGGCTTTTTCCTTCTCTGTCACAGTAATTTAATCTCCGCTTGACAGAACTGGCATTGTTCTATGAACTCTTTTCCCACCCATTTTCTTAATCATATTCCATACATCACCTAGATCCGTTTTTCAAGATTCAAGATTTTTATTCGTCACATACATGGTTATATAGAGAATATACTGTATAACCAGCAGTGAAATATAAGTCAGGTCTGCTCCATGGACAGTGCAATTATTATAGAATACAAACACAAAGAAAATTTTATATAAATATAGGTATGGAAAAAGTAAGATCAATATAAAAATTAAAATAAAATGCGCAGGACAGTATACTGTAGACTTAATAAATATTAAGATGAGCAGGAATGTACAAGAGAAGAATGTGCAAACAGGTTGTACAGGGTAGTTACATAGCAGCAATAGAAGAAAAAAAGTAAAAATTACAGAAATTGCTGTGTGTGAGTGACAATGTCAGTATATTAAATATCTTACTGATTATTAAGTGAAGTCATGTTGATGTTCAGAAACTGAGTTTGAGTTTAGGAGCCTGATGGCCTGGGGGAAGAAGCTCCTCCTAAGTCTCTCAGTTTTTGCCATCATGCTACGGAAGCGCTTACCAGATGGCAGCAAAATGAAAAGACAGTTACCAGGGTGGTCCTTGATGATTTTAACAGCTCTGCTTTTGCAGCGTTTGAGGTAGATGTCCTGTAGAGAGGGGAGAGCAGACCCTGAGATGCGCTCAGCTAAGCGCACAACTCTCTGCAGGGCTTTGCAGTCTTGACTGGAGCTGTTCCCATACCACACTGAGATACACTGAGTCAATACACTTTCTATGGCCCCTGAATAGAAAGTTTTCAGGATTGCTGGCGAAACCCTGAATTTTCTCAGCTGTCGCAGATGGTACAGTCTTTGCCTGGCTTTATTAACCTGAGTTTGGATGTGTGAAGTCCAAGTCAGGTCCTCGGAGATGTTTACACCAAGGTACTTGAAGCTGCTCACCCTCTCCACTGGGGTCCCACTGATCATAAGAGGAGTATAGGGCCACTGCTGTCTCTTCCTGAAGTACACAATCAGCTCTTTAGTTTTGTTCACATTCAGAGAGAGACATTTGTCCTGGCACCATGATGTGAGTTTCTCTACCTCATCCAAGTATGCGGACTCATTATTGTTGGAAATAAGGCCCAGAACCACAGTATCATCAGCAAATGTGATAATAGATGTGGAGCTGTGGGAAGACACGCAGTCATGTGTGTAGAGAGAGTAGAGCAGGGGACTCAGGACACAGCCCTGTGGAGCTCCCACGTTCAGGGTGATGGAGTTGGAGGTGAACTGGCCTACTTTCACCACTTGAGGTCTACCAGTGAGGAAATCTAGAATCCAGTTGCAGAGTGAAGAATTCAGGCCGAGGTCCATGAGTTTAGAAGCTAGCTTGATGGGGACTATAGTATTGAAAGCTGAGCTATAGTCGATGAATATCACTTTATTCTAGCCTTACATAGTTCCCATTGCTGCTGTCAATGTGCATGAGGGAAGAGTGCAGGACGTAATTGACATAGTGTCACAAATTTGCTTTTTCAGTAAGTCACATAGAAATGGTGATAAATCTGAAAAGTTTCTTCTTTATTTATGAATTTTTTTGGTTTATATTTTTAAAAACATTCTATTAACTTTTTTTTTTTTTCCAGGTTTATATTAGATTTCAAATCTCAGATTTTCTGTGTGGACTGACAATTTAAAATCCCACTGTGTATCTAGTTAGAACTGACACTTTTGAGTGTTTTAATTATTTTTACAATCAATTTTTATATAAATTGTAATGAGACAAATAGATTAAAGGGTTACTCCACCCTGAAATGAAAAGTTTGTTATTAATTACTCACCCTCGTGTCATTCCAAACCCGTAAGACCTCCGTTCATCTTCGGAACACAAATTAAGATATTTTTGATGAATTCTGAGAGCTCTCTGAGCCTCCCATAGACAGCAATGTAAGTAACACGATCAAGGTCCAGAAACGTAGCAAGGACCCTTGTATGGTGTACGGGTCTGTGGGACCCGTTTTCACTTTTTGTCAAAAATGATACGATTAATTATTTTTTTAAACTCATACTCATTGGCCTTGGCTCATTTTCTGTGAAGAACATATATCAGAACAAATTTTCAGTGACCACACACTGTACACCCCCCCTACACACTTATATTACATACAGGATGTTCGGGTCCACTGGACCCGGGGGTAATAAAAGTGTGGAAATTTTAGGGCCTGTGTACCTTCACTCTGTCCTCCTATTGTCTGGGCCTGCTATTAGTATGGGTGTGTGTTTATGTGTGTGTATGTGCGTGTGTGTAAACGAGAGAGAGTCTGTTAGAGTGTGAGTGTAAGTGTGAGTTTTGTGTTTCTGCCCCTGCCTTTCCCACACAAGGCTGTAGCACTTTAATTCATAAATGTGATCTAACAAAGGTAAAGGGCAACTTTTGACCATATATGCTGTTTATATTGCTTGTAATTGGGATGAAGTAAACATCTGTTGAGTATTTTAACATACATTTTTTTAATTGTGTTGAATTAAAAACCCTAAACTGCAGCGGGTCCACCAGACCCACGAACACTGGCTGAGTAACAAAAATATGAACACCACACAAGGGTTAAAGGAGGTGGGAACCACCAAGGTAGCAAGGGACTCATTAAAGATGGATGTAAACAAACCAGTGAGCTGATCAGCACAAGACCTCAGAACACGGCGAGAAATCCCATCAGGACCGGCTGCTTTCCTGACGTTCACTCGCTTTAGGGCCTTCCGAACCTCGTCCTCCGACACGGTGATTACATGATTATCGCTGCTCTGTCTGCTGCTTCCTGACGTGCTGATCGGCAGAGTCACGCTGCCTCGATTGCATTCAAAGCAGCTGTAGAAAGAGCTACCAATATTTGAGCAAAATTCCCTCCACGCATTTCTTTTTGCAGATTTGATCGTTCTTCTCACAATAGCTGCTTTTCTTTTTGTTTTCTACCAAGTTATCCATGCTCATGTTTTTCCTGAAATTTTTGAGAGCACAATTCCTTCCTTTCTTTAATTGATATAGAGCATTCATCTTTCCACCATGGAACTACTTTCCTGTTTTGATTTATAACTTTCTTAATGTATTCTTCTGCAGCACTTACTATCGAGCTGACTTTATTTACAAAAATATCTACATTACCATTAATTTGAAAATATTGAGCTTCTCTCTTACACTGTTGTTTAAAATCTTCCCAATTTGCTTTGACAAAACACCAGCTGTAAATGTAATTATTAGGTTGTATACATACACATCAACATTAACTTTACAAAAAATTGGAAAATGATCACTGCCAAGATTTTCTTTGCTTACTTTCCATTCACTTACACTGGCAAGGTGTAAGTCCATACAGACTTTACAAATAAGTTGTTTAATGTTAATTAAATGAATTAAAATTCATAATTTGCTCATGTATAAAATCATTTATTTACACAGCTGACACCAATGAAATTAGCTTTTGGCAGTTTACTGGTGATTTGAAACATCAGCATAATGAATGAGGTGAAAAAAAGAACTATTGACATGAAGTGAAGAGGCTTTTCAGCAGCAGTTAGAAGTCATGTATAATTCATATAAATTAACTCCTTTCCCCACCAGCGTTTTAAAAAGTTCCCAGATAGCATCAGTATTTTTGATCATTTTCAGAAATCTTTCATGGCCCCCAAAATATTTTGTTGTATAGGCTATAAATATCTGAACATATAATAAGCCTTTGCTTTTAAACAACAACAACAACAAAATGATTCTACTTCAAGCATTCTTTTTTTGTAGGTAAGTTTTATTTAGAAAGCAACATTTTGAGCAAAAGGCTGAGAAAATTGTGTTTTTGTCAAAGACTTCAACATGTGCATATGAAATGATTCTATCACTTTTTTCTGCCTCTTTTCGCTTGTGCTTTGAGCCAGAGATTCTGTACATTTTCAGAAGACGTGTAATATATAGCACCTCCATCATATAACAGTAAAAACCTGCACTGCTGAAAATGGCAGGGAAGCGTTGGGTCATAAATGACAGAAAACTCTGTCAATGGTGAGGAAATAGTTAAAAAGCCCTACATGAACATGGAGGACCCAAAATACAACAAGTTTTTAAAATATAGCTATACACATGTCTAAATTCATGCTAGTGTTTCACCATTTTAAAAAGATTTGACAAAAGTAAGTTTTCTTTGTGAAAAGAACAATTTATGTCTTTCTAAAAACTTTGAAAAAGAGTTTAGTGAAAGATTTTAGGAATTCTCTGATTGATAGGCTTTTGATCAGTATCGGCCTATACTAGCTTTTAATGACTCGATTTCAGACATATATTTTTTGTATGACGGAGAAGAGAAGATGATTGAGTGAAACTTTTCCCACATGAAGAGCAGTGATACGGCTTCTCTCCAGTGTGGGTCCTCTCATGTCTTTTCCAAGATCCATAATGACTGAATCTCTTGTCACAGTGTGAACACTTGTAAGGTTTTTCTCCAGTGTGACTTCTCTGGTGCAGTTTGAGTTCAGCATCTCTAACAAAGGTCTTCCCGCAATCAAAGCACATATGATTCTTCACACCGCTGTGTCTTTTCTGGTGATTTTTTAAATGTTGCAGCTGACCAAAACTCTTTCCACACAAAGAACACATGTGAGGTTCCTCCTTTGTATGAACTTTCAGATGCTCCTTCAGGGATTTTGCCCCAAAAAAGCTTTTTCCACACTGATCACAGTTATATGGTCTTACTCCAGAATGAAAATTCAGATGTGTTTTAAAATTGCTTAGATTTGCAAAACTCTTCCAACACTTATCACAAGTATATGGCTTCTCTCCAGTGTGGATCCTCATGTGTCCAGTAAGGGTTATTTTCATTCCGAAACTCTTCCCACATTGATCACATGTGTACGGCTTCACTCCACTATGACTTCTCAAGTGAACTTTTAAAACTTTTTTGTAAGCAAAACTCTTCCCGCACTGACCACATTTAAAAGGCTTCTCTCCGGTGTGGATTCTCATGTGATCCTTTAAGGCATTGTTTTGAGTGAAACTCCTCCCGCATTGATCACACGTGTAAGGCTTCTCTCCAGTGTGGACTTTCATGTGTTCATTAAGGGTTCCTTTTTGTGTGAAACTCTTCCCACACTGATCACATGCGTGTGGCTTCTCTCCACTGTGGCTTTTCATGTGTACGTTAAAGTGTCCTTTTTGTGTGAAACTCTTCCCACACTGATCACAAGTGTAAGGCTTCTCTCCAGTGTGAACTTTCATGTGAAGTTTAAGACTTTGTTTGTTTAGGTAACTCTTTCCACACTGAGGACAAGTGTGCTTTTTGGCTGTTCTTCTCTGTAAGACATTGCTTTTAGTCTGTGAGCGACTCAAATGACCAGTTTTGGCATGATGTTTCTGCTCCGCTTCACTCAGATCTTCGCTCTCCTCGCTCTCTTCCATCAGATCTAAATTGAAAGTAAAGGTTTAACTTTAAGTAAATCATGAATTCAAAGACAGAAATGTAAAAAAAAAAAAAAAAAATGTATGATTGTTTTGATGATTTTTTTAATATAAATTAATTATTATGTCTCTGGAACTTTACATGAATTGGAAATATTGATCTTCTAATTATTATTTTTATAACATTATTATCACAAATCCCATGTTTTGCAGTGAGAACTATTAAATGTTTAATTAACTACACACAATTATATCTAATATAACACTGATATTAAAACTATTTAATAATGCCATAACTTAAACAAAAAAACTGAGATGGTGAACATGAACATGGTTTGTGTAAGATTAGCAACACTAATTAGTTTGATAATGTTGTCAAGCCAAAGGCCTATGATCTTATATACAACCCTGTAAAATTCACTCTTCTGCCTCTGAATCAGTTCCTGGTTCAAACATATGTGATCCTGGACAACAGAACCAGTCATAAGGGTCAATTTTTTGAAATTGAGATTTATACATCATCTGAAAGCTGAATAAATAAGCTTTCCATTGATGTATGGTTTATTGGGATAGGACAATATTTGGCTGAGATACAACTATTTGAATATCTGGAATCTGAGGGTGTAAAAAATCAAAATATTGAGAAAAATCGCCTTTAAAGTTGTCCAAATGAAGTTCGTAGCAATGCATATTACTAATCAAAAATTAAGCTTTGATATATTTACGGTAGGAAATTTACAAAAAATCTTCATGGAACATGATCTTTACTTAATATCCTAATGATTTTTGGCATAAAAGAAAAATCAATAATTTTGACCCATACAATGTATTGTTGGCTATTGCTACAAATACAGTATACCTGTGTGACTTATGACTGGTTTTGTGGTCCAGGGTCACATTTCA